TCTTTGGGTGTTTTGGGTGTATTACTAAAAAAGGAAATTTTTAGGAATTTTGAGATTTGCGGGAAAGAGTTTTTTTTCATTTATTTGTTTTTATTATTTATATCTTTAAATAAATAAATAATTAATTAATTAAATTATTAATAAAAAGAAAAATTTAATTTTAGGTGATTTTTTTTGTCCCAGGCTGTATATACTGTATTTAAATTTTTATTTTATTTTATTGATTATATATTAAATTAAAAATATAATATAAATTAAAAGTTGTTTAAAGACTTTTTAAACAAAGTGTATACGTTTTTCAAACAGTAGATCTAATTAAAGATACACTTATTTATCACATGATTTTTTATTATGTTACATGTCGTACACGAATTTACGAATCTTGAGATGAAACATTTACCAAAAGAACAGGATGTTTTAAAAGACTTTGAGAAGGCCAAGATAGAACAAGTCAAAATTAAACAGCAAGTTCATGATAAATTGTTGCTCGTGTCTTCTGTACGCTTTTGTTTTTGGCCTTAAAACCATGAATCTGCTTTTTCTTTCAAAAGATTAATACTATAATTATACCATAAACCGATAGACATCAGAAATTCAAAGTAAATCATCGAGGGAATTAGAAGATGATTATCATAAAGTAATAATCCTATCGCATAATAACGATAGAATGCTTTGTCTTACAATAAAGCATTTTTTGTTTTCCTAGGTTTACTTAAGTAGAATTCACTTGGCTGAAAAATATCTTTTCGCGCGTCAATTGAACCGTTTAACACATAATTTCAGCCGCTTAAGTAGTGAAATCGAAGAGACGCCTAAAAGGTTATCATCCTTTTTCATGCATATAATATATAAGCTTTCATTCAATTGTTCGTGTTATTGTGATGTTTTGTAGAACGGATTCTGACGAGGATGAAGAAACTTGGAGAAGGAATATGCAGAAACTGGATTGGGACTTATTTAATACACCAAGTAATCTCTTATATTTAAATAATGGTTAGGTTTGATTCATTAATAAAACCTCAACTTGTTTTGTAAGTGGCAATTCGTACCATGTCCGAAGCGTGGATGAAAAGTAATGACGAAAATTTACTGTCAAGATGGTATTGGCAATTGAAGAACTGTGCCCTCGAGGCGCAGTCATGTCGACCTTCCAATAAACTGTCATCTGCTTCAGGTAATCGAAAATAATAAATATAACGTTTGACTTAACTATAACGATTATTACTAATGAATTTTTCATTCAATTATCAAATTACAAAAATGTAAGAAAATTTACTTTACAATGTCATCGTCTATGATATCAGTTATTCTGTTGGAATTCCACCTAGCCCAAGGAAACAACGCAAGTCTACGTCAAAAATGTTGAAGTTCAGCACAAGATATTGTGGGCATATAGTGCTAACATGTGTATTCAGGTGAGATCAAATATCATCTTTTCGAATTTAATTCTATCGTTTTTAACATTTTCGCGTTCTATATGCATATCATATCGAAAAGTGAAGAAAATGGTGAATCCTTCGCATCTCCTCGATATGATATTAAATTTGATTATCCGCTTGAACGATCGACTAAAATGTTTCGTGAGATGATTCGAGAATGCAGTACATCGAAACAGCAAGAACACGGCAGTATCACTAGAGATTTGATACAATTCGTGAAAAATGTGATTTGGAATGAGATGAATGATCTGTTCAATAATTAGTCAATCGATACCCAAATACTGTTTTGCAAATACCTGGATTCCACCGACTTTTTATTCCTTTTTCCGAGCTAGAAATTTATTCCAATGTTGGCATCACGACATTAATGTTACATCATTGACTGGGATTTTTCTTTACTGCTTAGATAGTTTATCATAAGCAAGCTAGCATTAAACTTATTGATCAATTGATCTTATGAGATATTGTCACTTTTTTCATATATAAAGTCTTTATATTTTACAAATAATAAAGCAATAGTATTATCTACTTAAAAAAAAAATTGTTTAATTTATTGTTTAATTTTATTTAATTTTATTTTTTTAAATACAATAAAAAATTTAGAAAAATAAAAATAAATATTATATAAATATACTGTACATATAAAATTATTTAGCTTTAAATAAAAGTAAAATATTAAATTAAAATAAGAAATAAAATAATTAATAAATAATTTTAAATAAATTTATTTTATAAATATTAATTTAATTATATTAATATTTTTATTTGATTTTAATATTTTTTTTTAAGTAGATAAATATCATTTCTTTATTTGGTTTGTATATTAAAAGTATACATTATAAAAAAACAATAAGTTAAATACTAATTTGCCTACAAAAACTAGTTGATTAATATTAAAACAAAATTTTAAAACAATATATCTTGTCAAATAGTATCAAGTAACTATAAGTATCTATTCAATATTAGAAAAAAGAAAATTAGAATAATTATAAATTAATTTTGTAATATATTTAAAAAAGTTGTAATTATTTTGAATAAAAGTTTTTGTAATTAAAAATAATAAATCAATAATTATTATTTCTTGTATTATAAATAATAATTTATATTGTCTAATCTAAAATTATTTTTTTACATTTGTTTATAATAATTAATAATTTTTCTTTTCATTTTATTTTACTTTTGGAAAGGTATTAATAATAGCATATTGTGATTTTCAAATATATTATATAATAATATCAGGATTTTAACTAATGTTTTGATTTAATTATTAAAATCCAATATAAAAAAAATATTATTACTAATATTATAAGTTAGTTTAATTATCTTCTATAAGTAATTTATTAGTTTTAACTCATTTTTAAGATGGAAAATATAATTAATTTATTTAATAATTTGATTAATTTCTTGTATTACTTTTGAATATTTGAAGATGCAATATATATGATTTAATTTTGTTTAATTAGAATTCAAATATTTAAATACTTTATATATAAAAAAACTGATAAACATATATAGTGGTATCCAAAATTTTTTAAAAAATTAAAAATTATATTATTATTTAATAAATATTGATTTAAAAAATATAAAAAATTAAATATAAATCTTTTAGTACTTTACTGAAAGTGATCATTTTTTAACAATGTAGTAGCAATATAGTAGTAATATAATTTTTTTTTAAAAATGGTAGTGTAGCAATAGCAATTTAAATATAATTCTGTTACTATATTGTAATATAATAGTAACAATATAGAAACAAAGCA